CCAGCTTAGCATTTTTGCACTTCAAAAATGTCTTTGACTTTTATAAACAGGCATGATGGTAAAATTGAGGCTGTTAAAAACACATGCTTTACTTTGGTAGTTTATAATTCACAGTGGCATTTAGTGGGTGGAGTTGTAAATTACTAAGTGGACTGCTGCCACAGCAGAGTATGCTGCTGCTCTGCAAAGGAGAGTCTTTGCTAAGAATAGGAATGTGGTCACAGTGATAATAAAGAAGGGCTCGGCATGCCTGGGACGTCAATGGGAGATCTGGAGATGGTTGTTGGATGCATAACAGCTGCTCTAGAAATTAGATGTTATCAAAGATTTTTTGAAAGATTGAATTGAATGGAAAGCATGCAAAGCTTAACCAGCAAGACTTGGTTTCAATTTTTAGTAGTACCACCGAAAGGAAGAATGGCATTTGAAATATTTATGTTGTCGATAAATTGGAAGGTACGGTTTTACAGCCAACAAAATGCTGTGTTTATTCTGCTGTAAGAGGGAAGCAAGATTGCAGCAGAGTCTTTACACATAAAAACATCCTTTTCCCTATCGCTTTTAAATGAATCAGATTAATCTGCCATAGAAGCAATATGATACATTAATGAGGTATTTGATCCAGTCTGTCAAACACTGAAACAAAAAAGGCCTGTTTATAAGTCAGTTACTACCTGGAAACAATATTATTGTTCTCAATAAAACTAGCATTTTAAAGACACTAGATTTCTCTGAGTGGGAATGGTTGACTTGTCACCAGGATGATATTCCTTCGGACTGTTAGTAGCTATAGCTATAAAAGCCTTATCCAAAGCTTGCAAGCCAACAGCATCACATCAAGAATCCTGAGTGAAGGGTGCAGATAGACATGGATGGCAATATAAAACACACTCCGCTTTCAAATGTTTGGAAGGTTTACTACTGAGTGACAGCTGCTGTATGATTACTATTCAGCCGTAACGGCACAAGAAAATATTCTGAATCCAAATGTGTAGCAGTGACCTTTGTGACTGCAATAAATTCATTTTTTTGGCTGCTTGAATTCCCCATCAGTGGACATTGACATAGTGCGCTCACTTCTCTGGCCTTAAGAAACATGCTTGAGCTACACCAGCCTTAAAATGATCCACAGGAAACTTTCATTGAAAAAGCAAAAAGAAATCTGTATGAAATCACTGCGTCTACTTCATGCCCTGCACAACCCCTTCCTATTGGGCCCTGCTTTGATCCCTGTTGGTGCTGGCCAGCTCCAGCCTCCCTGCGCAGTGAGGGCTGCACACAGATGTTACGCGGATAAACAGCTTGTCAGCGGAGGAAGCTGGGTCACTTTTCCTGTAGGAAAATCACCGACAATATGATTTTGTCACAAAAAGTCTAATCTGGTTCTTTTCTGAGGCAGGATGCCGGACACAATTCTAGCAGAGGATGTTCTGAGCTGCATTATAATGATACCTCCTTAAACTTTTCACAAAAATCCAAGTGCTGATTTCATTCACCATTAAATAGATAAAGGGACTAGTCAAAAGAAATGCTGTTCTAGTAACCTATCACACTCAACTGAGGAGTCATTCCGATGGAGCTCAATGATCATTATATGTCTTTTATAAAGGTATCCCTTAAGGAGGCAGGCGTGCAGACAGAAATTATTGAGTTTCTGTGCTCTTACAGGAAAGACTCCGTTTTACAATAGGATTTATAGCAGCTTTAGTGTCATAGATAGGAAACAGATAAGTTCTGTGATCAACTTTAAGCCACTAATATTAAGCTACTTGGCAGACAGGATTACAGGGAGTAGAGCCCCAGGTAGCCCTAAGACTTCTGCTTTAAATTCTGCGTTCCCATGCATTAACAAATCTAAAGCATATGATAATGATCTTCTACTTCAAATCCTTTCTCAAAAACAGCAAGAAACAAGGCACTGAAGTTTTACTGTCCGTTTTAACATGAATAGAGAATTACAGGAGTAGGGAGTTCAGTTCAACTCTTTAAGGTTTGCCAATTTCAGGACTCTATATGCTTACAATTTAACCTAATTAAAGCTCTGAAATTATGATTGAATATGGAAATGCACTGGCTAGAAAGTGAATCTGCCAACCTCAAAGCATTTCATTTTTCGTAACTCTGAAGTCCCGTCCCATCAATAAATGCATGCAGCAGCATACATCACACTGACAAGGAGTGCGGTATAGATTTAAATGCAGTGTGACCTCTAAATTGCATTTTAAAATGTGATTTTGAAAGTCACCAGTGTGAACAAAACAGGTGGAAGAGGGGAAGCCAGTGACAGTGGGATCTGTTCCCCGGAGCTCCACTCTTGCCTCCTGACTGATGCCTGCCTGCCCAGCTGAGGTGCCTCACGTAGCACAAAGCTGACGAGGGGTGGAGAATGTACCTGTGCTCAGCCTAATCACTCATTGAATCTCGGCTACCTATCTTCTGTGTGTGCTACCCAGTCAACAACTGCTGTATGCTTTTAAATTGTGCATATCCTGCTGGCAGGGTCTCTCTGCGCTCAGCTATAAATAACAAACAAAGTGACCCAAAACAATCACACTCATGCCATTCCTGGAAAACTCAACAGAAAAAGATCTAATGAATTATTTAACATTGATAGCAAATGAAGCAACATGCAGACATTGGGGGGAAATGGTAGCATTGTGTGTGATCGCTTTGATGTCATTTACAAAAAGAACACACTACAGCTGTATCCAAGAATTCTGCAGCATGACATGGCTTCCTAACTCATAAAATGAACAAGGCAAGAACCACTTCAGCTGTATTTTACACAATTACCAAAAATACAAGGAGCAATCTAGAGTAAATGCCAGATCCTTAGGTAGTTAGAAAAATAATTTCCTTCTTTTCTTTATTAAAAAAAGAAAACAAACCAACAAATCAACACAGTAACTTCTGTCTTCAAATGAGGTAAAAAAAAATAAAATGCAAATAACATGATAGACTAACTCCAGTTCAAAAAGGAACTGAGAAAAAAAGAGTAATATTTGTGACTAGTAACCCTATTTCTTCCATGCAAAAAAACGCCCAGTAATGGAAAGCCATAAAAACATAACCATCATTTGGAAACTACTGTCTTCATTTTTAAGGTATTTCTAAAATTTCAAAGATCAAGAAGGTATATTCCAGTGACTGAATGTGAAGAAAATGAAAGAAAGTCTAGATTAACAGAACGGAAACTATGGGTTGAGCTGAAAAAATACAAATTTCTAATTTTAGAAGTTAAGTCACATATACTTCAAAATATCTTAAATTTATTCTGTTGGTAGACATTTAGAGGTAAAGAGGTATCTGAAGCTGTCAGCAATTTTAATAATTTCACATCTATTTCTTGTTAATGACATAGGAAGCAAAACAAAAAACAACAAAAAAATCTAATTTCCTGGAAAACAAAAGATAGGCTGAAATCAAGTTACTGTACATCTTTGCACCATTTATCAATGAAAAGTGTAAAATTTTCCATTATGACGTTTTAAAAACCAGTCACAGACTGGATTCAACTTTTTATTTCTGAAATCTTTCCTTCATACATCAATCATGACTTTCAAAAAGTTTTGATATTTTATGAGTAGCATAAGCAGAACTAAATGAATACAAATATGGTTGTAAGTGTGTGTGTGTAACGCAAAAAAACTCCAAAATTTAACAGAAATATTTGCTACTAGCATGTTACATATAATAAATTATAATCTTATTTTTAAAAAGTGCACACAACCAGATCATTAGCACATATCAGTATTTGTTTGGATGAATAAGCATTTACAAAAAAAGAAAAACACATCAACATTCTACATATTATAAATAACTAACAATGAAATACTACTTTTAAAAGACAGGATTTTGTCCCTGCATGAACTAACTTACATTTTCAGTCAAAAAATATATATTATTTAGACACACATTCTAAATTACTTATATTTATCTGATATACTACCTTTCAAAAAACATATTGCAGTATATATCTATAAAAACAATTACTTTCTCAATCAGAACTGGGTTTTGTATTAGCCCTGTATGAGCTGAATACTTACATGGGTTTAACCTGAGACATAAGTCAGTCTTACTCACTTCAGGGAACAGCAGCTGTTGTACTCAAAACACAGACAACTACGTAGATTCCTTACTGGAGCTGAGTTGCCATGAAAGGGTATATCAACACAGTCAGAGCTTAAATTATATCTGTACCTAAAATACTTTCATACTAATTATATTTCCTATATTATACTTATTATATAATTCTTACTTATATTTGTAAAACATTA